GTTACAGGTGCCAAGGAGATGATTTAATGCTTGTAACCATGTTTACAGGGTGTTCTGACGAAACTGTAACACTCCTGTAGCCTATGTCAGCACTGCATGATGCATGGGTTGATCCTCAAGAGAGTAATTGTCCCAATTGGGCCAAAAAGGGCCACAGATCATCCCAAACAATTTAATACTGTAGTCTGTGCTCATGTAGTTAAGGTTTCAATGATGTAAACCTTGTTTGTAGATTTTTCCCGAACTGCATGAACCTTAATTACACATGTAGCCCCCTTACAACCTGTAGTATGATGTAACTGGAGGGGTCTACAGTGTATTTTGGTCCAATATCACTCAAGGACTACAAAGTAAGTGAAGGAGTAATAATTCAGGGGTACACTTGGTGAGCTACCCTAGGTTATTTTGCATGTAGATTCAGAATCTGCAATAATATTCTGAGTTATACTTAAGGTTCAGAAGTTATTAGGAGATTCTGGTTAAAAATGTTATTTTTCCTTATTTATTTAATTATTTAAATGTTTTTCTCATGGAATATTACAGTTTAAGTGTACAGTGTAATAATGTCTCTATTATAGTGATTACACTTATTTAAATAGTATATTTTATTGTTTTTAATTATATGTACATATGTAAGTAATAATATCTCTAATTTATATGTAAAATGCTGTGTTCAGGCTGGCTCTGATTAGTAGCAGGCTGACATTCATCAACAACAACATCATCATCAATAATCACCATCAACACCTTCAAACGTTATACATATCATTCAACAGCTTCATTTTGAACTATCCTCTATCACAATATATAAACTGCCAAGCTAAGCTTGGTGGTCTTGTTGTTCTGATAACATAGAAGGGCAGAGCTTGCAACTCCACCATCCCCTTCTCCATTCAGCAAGAGGTTTTCATAACCACTTTTGAGTCTTACAACGCCAAACTGCGCCTGGTGTGGGCCATGGGGGTTGGCTTGCGCTTATCAACCCCCTTAGCGCAGAAAGTTGGAATTGCGCTAACACTACGCGCTCAGGGCACAAAAAAGTGCCTGCTACAGCGCTTTTTTTTCCTTTCTTGCTGCTAAAAGCGCTGTAGCGCAGCGTAGCGGCTGTAGAGGTGCGCTAATATTACCCAGAAACAAGCCACCTGTTAGCGGCACTACAGCGTAGCAGTGGTAGCAGCAAGCTAAAATTACAGAAAAAAAGTCCCATTTTAGTGCCACTACGCTAATGCTAGGTGGCCCTTTAGCGTAGCGGCCCACCGTTGGTCCACCCACTGTACACCTGCAAAGGAATTTAATATAAAATTTGAGCTAATAAAGGAATTCAATATGAAACAAAGTAATTCAATATCCAACATGCATCCAGTATTCAAAATAAGCTATAGTCAGAGTAAAGAATCCAAGAGATATCCCATGAAAGGTTGAAATCCATGTAACTTCGAAACTATGAGAGATAAGGGGGTAGTTGTACTGAGTGAATAGGGGTTATTTTACCTGATTAATCTTTTTTTACTGTTACTTTGATATTTAATGTGTAAAGAGATAAGAAGAAATGTTTATATTTCTAGTGTAGAAACACAGGAATAACTATTATAACTTTATACGCACAGGGCACAAAAGTGCGCTAACTGTTGGCATAGCCTTAGCGCAGAAATTTGGAATTTCACTAACACTACGCACAAAGGGCACAAAAGAGTGCCCGCTAAGCTGTGTTTGAGCGCTTTTTAGAGGACTTTTGGCCTTTTTTGCCTCTAAAAGCACTGTAATGTAGCGCTGGTAGTGGCGTTGTGGCAGTCAAAAATGTGAAAATTCAAATTTTTTCTTTTCTTTTCTTATACATATATTTTTTCATATTATCACCCAATCTCTCTCAGAAATCACACCACACCACTCAAAAACTGGACTACACGGACCAATTCACCCTTAGTCATCACAGAGGCATCACTGGAACACACTTGTATCAACAATTATACCACAATGGACAACATATCACAAGTATTTCACCCATCACTTACAGGTCTACAATCACAATTACAAACTTTAAGCTACACAGACACCCTCAGTACAGTACAATCCCCCATTTACATATACACTCATTTACATACAGCTATTTCTCTTTCACTTCTACATATTTCATCATACCTCCAGCCTAAATTAGTATATTTTCCTTGTAAGACAGCTGCAGCTTACACCACCACACTCACTTATAAAGACCACATAACCTGACCAATCAGAATCACTCTTTCAGCTGTCTGGCTCACCAATCCAACTCTTGTACATTTCTGACCAATCACATTCACTCATTGAAATTTTGTATGTATCAAAAACCACTCATGTAATAGCCCAGGACAGCCAAAATCACTCATTACTGGCTGCCCTGGAGCTAAATTCCCTCAATATTTTTATATAAGGAGGCTTTCCTCCCATTTGTTGTCTCCTCCGTGTATTATTCATCAGTCACAGCTTAGTACCACTCAATCAAAGACATACCACCTTTACATAACCCTACAAACGCCAATAACATTCCTGAACTTACCCTATCACTTGATTAAAACTTGCCAAGCTGAGCTTGGTGGGTCTTGTTATTTGATACTATAGAAGGGCAGAGCTTGCACCTCCACCATCCCCTTCTCCATACAGCAAAAAGGGTCTTACAACCACTTTTTGAGTCTTAAAAGTGAGTCCCCAATGTGATAGGATAAACTTGTGTGATCTACATAAAGTAATTGAATTTCAACAAATAACGAGACTTAATCACCAAAGGATCATGAACTTTAGCAGGAACCGGTGTGGTGCTCTAAACGGTACAGGCCCCCTCAAGGTCAATTTTCAATTTTCAATTTTCAACTTATCAATATCCTCAAGCCTCATGATTTCAACAATATCACCTCAAATCCCCTCTCAGTCCAACAGTTTCCTTCATTATATTATTTTACTATGTTTTTGTTTCCTTTTATTATTTCATTTTCTCTGATTATTTTGTCTTCATATTATTTTTCATTCATCTTATCAGCAGTGGGCCACTATGGGCCCATGTAGCATTAGCTTAGCGGCGCCAATTTTCTTTTTTGTGTAGTGTTAGCGTGCCACTACTGCCGCTGCGCTATGCTAATTTGTAGCGGCGCTAACACTAGCCATTTTTTGGTGTAGTGTTAGCGCGCCTCTGGCGCCTTTTATACCACTTTCTCCAGTCTCATGATTGCAAGTTGGTGGGTTAGGGTTGTGTAATCCAAACAAATTGACTATATACATCTGGGAGGGTGCTGCATTTCAAGGCTATTATAGTAGGCATTTAAGTATTTTTTATCAAGAATTCACCCATTTATATATAAATGTGCTCCTCATTTGAAGATTACCAAGCTTTAAAAGTTAACATTTTTTTGGGAAAAACAGGGCTCAGATTTTATTGAGAGGGAGTGTGAATCCTTGAACTTTCTTGGATATTAATCTGGTATGATGATCATTGAATACCATGCCATACAAAATTTTGAACAACACATGAAACATGTTTTGAAAATTCAACATCAAGTATTGAGAGTTTTGACAATAGTTTTGTGTAAATAATTCTGGTACAGGTGTGCTTTTGGCTTCCTCCTCCACAACTCTGCCTCCAATTTATGTTCATGAATATTTATGTCTTGTGCTCATAGGTCAATCAGAGTTCTAATTTCACTGTTCACCAATTTGAAAACTTTACAAGTAGATTTAAGGCCAGCACTGCCTGTGCAGGAGAGATGCCATCTTTATATCTGCTATTGCCTTTGACAATCTTTCCCCTGAAATTCTTTGATTTTAACAGTTTTATTCAGATTCAGGACCAGTAGCACTAGACCTTGCTTTTTTCTTCAGCGCTTGCAATATTTGAAGTCTTTGAAAAGCAGATGAAGGAATGATTCATGTGATACTAAAGTAATGCATCCCTTGTAAATGCATGGTAATATCTTGGAGGCTTGATGTGTAATCCAAGCCAAACAGCACAGTGTGTCTTTCTGAGTTTTGAAAGTTCTAAGCACAACTCTCAAGTCAAAATTCACTGCCAAAATGATTGTATCAGATTAATACATCTGGCATTACATCAGATAGAAATCTCTGATATTACATCAGGAAAAACTGGGATTTTATCTACCAGAATTGATATTATATCTACCTAAAATGATATTGTGTCTATCATAAAAGATATTACATCAGACCATCCTATTGAATGTCAACATAACTGAATCGATATCAGATTTTTCTATCTGATTTAATGCCCATGGGCTAAAAATTTGTATCAGATGTAAAAATCTGATATAAAATCAGTTATGTTGACAATAAATAGGTTGGGATGATGCAATATCTGTTATGATAGATATAACATAATTTAAGGTAGATATGATATCACTCCTGATAGATATAATGTCAGTTTTTACTGATGTAAAATCAGATTTTTTCATCTGATGTGATTCCAGATGTGGGAATCTGATATAATCACATTTGCAGTGATTCTGGAATTGGAGACAATCCTAAATTGTGTTTACTCACAGAAGTACTATTTTCTTTATTCCTCTTTGCATTTTATCTGTTTGAAATGAGAGATGGGATTGTCTTATCAGTTGAAATGATTGAAAAAAGGAAAAAATAATGAGATGGAATTATCTGATCAACAGAAATGATTGAAAAAAGGAAACATTAATGAGGTAACAGAATTTTGCTAAAGATGTGATTGTGATCACTGATATGGTATACTAAATTTTCTTTTTTGTTTTTCTTATTTGTATAGAAGCCACAGCAAAAAAGGGTGGGCGGGTGGAAGCGAAAAAATTGAGGCTCGCAGAGGATCGAGGAGGAGCGGAGCAGTCTGGGTGAGAGAGAGGGAAGCTGGCAGATGGAGGAGACAAACCTCAGGAGGAGGGCAAGGATAAATAGGGGTGACGCGCTGAGAGTGAGCCAGGCGCACGGACCTGCCCTACTCGCTGACCAAGCCTCTCCAACCAGACTGGTCCGCCCCGCGGCCGTGGACAGAGATGACTTCCCCTGCGGAACGGCCATCAACAATCCACTCATGCGGGCTCGCCACTGGTACCAGCGGCGGCGCCACGCGACATCACCTGAAGGTATTGCCGCGCGGCGTCTCCGGCAGGTGTGGGAAGGAGGGTTCGGGGGAGAGCTGTTTCTCCTCTTAACCTGACCAGGTAGTGAGCCAAAAGAAGATGTGGAGAGGGGGGGAGAGTTCAAGGGGGGGTTCAGGCACAAAGCCCATCAACTCAGGTAGGGGGAGAGCCTGAGCCGTGAGTGAAAACCCCAACTCAAGCCCTTAAATTGTGGTGTGAAAATCTCATTAAAACAAGGCATCCTGTCAACTCATCCTGCTCCAGTTAGACACAAGTGCGCGTAACAAACTAGTACTGCGCAGCATATCCTCACGGCTGTAAGGCCAAAGGTACAATCGGTAACATTGGGAGGTCCAGCGTCCCAGAGAACAGATTTGATCTGGTTTCATTCCCAGGGCGTGTCTCAAGGAGGCACCTCCTACTCTGAACGAGTGCCCCAAAAGCCGGTTTTCCCCCCCTGTTGCAAAGATCACTTGGATCCTGGCAACCGCTTCCCTGCGCGTGATGTGGTGGCGATTGACGGGGCTTCCAAAACCGAAAAGCGATGTCCGTTTGCCGCTTGCCTCCGCTAGGCGACGCCTGATGGCCCGGACGGGCACAGTGTGTGCGGTTGCTCCGTAAGGAGGATTAGTTGGGTTCCTCCCGGGCCGGCCGTCTTGGTGGCCCTTAGGATGACTGCTGCTGTTACCCCCATCCTGTTCGATGTCTCCGTGAACGTGACGTTGGATGTTAGCACCAATTTGTCGTATCGAACCAGCCCGTCTTTACGGTCGTAGGTTAGTTCCGCCAGGCGGGCCAGTCCCCAGAAGGCCACTACGCAAAGGTCTATGAGGGCGCTGTCAAAATTGGATTTCTGGTACAGGGCCGTGAATAGCTGCATCAAATGCCAAACCATCATGGGTTCCTTGGGACGTCTGATGCTAGTTGTGGCTTCTAATTGTGAAGACGCGCGTAGTAATAGGTCAATCCTTGTTGCATTCTTCGTAGGAAAGGTTGCTGCGTGGAAATTGTGCCACACCCTCAGGCCAATTAAATACTTTCTCAGTGAGATCGATGATATTTTACCGGTATTTGTGGTGTATGTATTGCGACCTGCCCACATGCAGAAACCTTCCAATTTGGCAGCTGAGATTGGGAGGCAAAATTCTTTGTTTGAGTGGGCTGAGTGATACAGCATGAACTTCTTAACTGTGCTATTATATGAAAGGAGCGTGCTCCAACACCACACCGACACAATGTGTAGGGACGCCGGTGACAGAGTTTCTTTCAATGTTCCGTTACAAAGGAAATGAGATATTTTCTTGAAATCTGGATCTACGGTTAATGAAAAGTTCTCTGATGGACGAGTCATAATTGAGAAAGACAAAACAGCTCTTAGTAGAAACCGGGATAAACCACGGGCATACACTGGTATTCCTATTATAAACACCATCACAAAATGAGTTTGAAATAAAAATTACAATTTTTTTTTCTTTTTTTTTACTTTTACAAGTAGGAAAAAACCCAATTCGGAAACAAGGGTCAAGCATGGAACATTGAGAATACTAGATCAGGGGGCAAGTTTAACCATACCCGGTTCTCATTAACATGAGGGGTCAGAATGCCCCTGGACAAGGAGTCTGCCTTGTTATCTTTTGAGACTACTCGTCTCAGGGTGAGGTCCAGCTTGTTTTCAATCAGGAGGGCATGTATGATCTTCCACTCTTTGTTTACCAAAGCATCTTTTGATTTTTTCGTATTAAGTACCGATTCTGTCACTTTATTGCCTGTCCATACGATGTAATTGGACCCTCTTGATGCAACACCTAATTTGGTTAACATCAACAACCCCAACCTAATTGCTACAGTTTCTAACCAGGCTATGCCCTTTGCATGTACGCCTACCCTCCAGTTTTCCTTCAGCCTGAACTGGCTCCATCTGTGTTTAATGAGAATTCTGATGCCGAAACCTGTGGACGTGTCGCCGACCCAATGAACTTCACTCGGTTCCATCGACTGTATTAGTCTTGTAGTTTTGAAAATCGATAGCGTGTGTAGTGTGTATCCCGAATTCCAAATTGCTCCTCACGTCTTCTGGCAGAGAGCGTGTTGCCATCCTCTTTTTCCACTTGTTAATTCAACGATATACGCCCCTGATGTAGGCCCTAAGCTGGGGTAACAGATATGAGACGTGATTGAGTCTTCCGGCTAAAACTTCTGCCTCATTGAACCTGAATTCCTTCTTCGGAATTAAGAATTCACCGATTTGGCTCCGCCTCTCATCTAACTTCTTTGTTGTCAATCGAACAGTCAAATCCACCCCGTTCCAGATGAATCCAATAAATTTCTGTTCGTCCGCAAAGTCTTAGCATTTATCCATGTTTGTCAGTACGCCCAGTTCTTGCAACCTAATTACTACATCGGTAATCGAGGCGCTAGAGGACTGTGATTTTATGAAAAGGTTGTCGTCTACCCACCGGAAAATGCGTATGACATCCAACTCGTGAGACATTATCCTTTTCCATGCATCAGAGGGAATGCCAAAAGAACCACATCCTGCCACACCACCAAATGTGATGCGGGTGTCGAGGTATAAAATTTTTTCCAGATCTTGGACCATTAGAAAGGGCCACTGATCCATCCTAGTCGGAATCTGTCTGTAGGCTTTCTCCCAGTCAAAAAGACCTAGCTGAAAAGGTCCCTGGTTCTTCCGGAAGAAATCCGCAACGATGTTGAAATCGTCCCAAGTCGTCTTGAAATTGGCCTTGTTGACAAACGAATAGACCGAGGGGATGGAGTTGTCTCTTTTCGGGGATGAAAAGTTGATAATAGGTCTCATCTTTCTGTCTGCGTTAACCACGGATCCTAATGGGCTAGTCGGGAAAAATGGGAAATGTCGGGCTACTTGTTTGTGTGTAAAAGGGCCGAACATTTGTTCCTCTTCCACCTCTTCAGCAATGGATAGTTGGATTTTATCTTTTGCCATGACGGCTGAGCTATGGATGTGCTTGAATGCATCAACACAGCTTCTAAATATTTGAAGAGAGAATACCAAGGAATTGAGTATTGGATGGGAAGTTTGGTTGTTGAGGGTGCAGTGTTTAAACTTTCTGGAAGCAAATACTACTCTACATATTCCATTTAACTTTCTCAAATAAATGGCCACACAATGATCCGGAAAAACAAAGAAAGAGCCAGTAAAACTGGAATCCAAGTGACTTTTAATCAATATTGATCCATCAGCTTTATTGACATTTGCAAGCATGAGAAATGCTGTTTTGGATGTATTGGTGTCGGTGTGTGGCTGATTGGAAAACTGTTGAAAATTCACTCGTTCTCTCTCTCTCCGCTCTCATTTCTCAAAATTTCATTCATTTCCCGCTTATGAGTATTGAATTTGTTTCTTATTCCTATTCATTATGATTCAATTTCTGCTCCCACAACTTGATCATTTTTTACCTAGTATACTTAAGATCTCTTGAATTGTTAGGAATAAAAAAGGAGCACTTGAGCCCTTCATCAGTCACAGTTGTGAAGCACTTCAGCCCTTCCATCTTGAACTAAAAAGTATTATACTTTGGCCTTTCAGCCAAAAGTTCAACAAAAACTTGTTAGATGTGAAGGCTAGGTTGGACACAAAATTCTTTTTGGTTGGTTGTGCTGTCCAGATGGGATCTTACAACAATGACATATTGAGAGAAGTCAACAGTTTGTTTGCTTCTTCAACTGAAGTTTGGCTATAGAATGGAACAATTTATGAAGGATTCCAGCCGCCCAAAAACCGTTTATCATGTGTTCGAGATATCCAAAGGGTTTAGAATTGACACCGTCTTTCTTGAGATATTGTACTGCAACTTGACCTTCATCTTGAGACTTCCGCCAACCTATCTTCCACATTTTTCCTCAATAGATTTTCTTACTATCAACGGGGTTAACATAACCCTTGGATTGATGGAGAAAGGTAGTAAGAAATTTCAATTCTTTCTCATCTTCTTCCGTGAGCTCTTCTGACAGGGTAAAATCAATGTACACAATGAATTGATTGGATTTTGGATCTTCTGGGAGGGGACCATCTTTCTTGGGTATGTTTTGATTGGATTTGTGGCTTGTTGTTCTTTGTGATATGTTGATTGGGTTGAGCCCCTGCTGGAAGGGGATTGTCTTTTGCAGGGACGTATTTCTCGTATAATACAAGTCAACCATGATTGATCAAATTAAAGTTTGAGACCGTGTCTTCAGCTGGTGTTGGCTTTCGAGTTACATCAGCTGGATAGAGATCAAGTTTTTTATACTCCCTTCTCATTTTCTTGGTATCCAGATGAATATTTGTAGTGAATACCTTGGAAGCCTTCAAGTTGTTTTCCTATTTTTTGAAATATTTGTTTTCCTGTTTGCACTTCTTCTTTAGAGCTTTTTGGGGAATGAAATGAAAAATAGTAAAGAGTCATTCATCAATTTATCTATTTCTGAAAACTGGTGGTCCCACCAGGTCAACTTCAACTGACCAATCACAGAGCCGGGCTTGAATTTTCTCAATCTGTGTCTTGTTACCGCAGAGATCCCCTAGCAATTGTCCCGCCAATGTCTTTTCACTACATGAGTTTACATATTTTTCAATATGAACAATTATTTAGCTTGAGCTGACTTGATCATCAGAATTAAGAATCACTCACCTTACGCTTCCCTTTGGTGGACCCAACTATTTAGCAGCTTGTTTGACTTTCTTCACTTTTTCCTCTTGCTTCTTCAAATTATTGGCATCAAATTCACCAGAGCTTCCATTTCAGCCGCCGTGATGCCAAGGTGCAAAGATTTAAGATGTTAGAGTTTGAACTCTGGGACTAAAGATTCCGGTGTGTAATTCCAACAATGAGTGGTAATTACAAGGTGAGAAGATAGTAGAAATAAATAATTATATCAATAAATATTGATATAATTTAAACAGAGGGGCCTGATAAATCAGGGGTGGTTTAGTTCCCTCTCAGGTATTGTGCAAAAGCAGGGGATTTAGGTACCTGATAACACTGGGGCCTGTTTAACAGGGGTGGTTTAAATCCCAGAAGAAAGTAGTAAGAATCTCAAGAAAGAAGGGGGCATTATGTACTAATAAAGCCCCTTAAGTCTTGAGGTTCTGATAGACAGAGAATTAAAGCAAGAGACAATACATTACCAGACAGATACAAATGTTAAGCATTTGGGACGGTGGGTAATCTAAAGTGGGTTGTAATAATCTGAGGAATCCTCATTTGGGGGGACAGAGGGCTCTTTATATACCCGTGGAGGCATCTGGGAGATCAGGGTCAACTTGTGGGCGCTTCATGCATGGAGGCTTAAACATGTGACCATCTCCTTGGAAATGTGCCACAGGTGTTCTGTAGAAGATTAGAGCTGAAACATGTGGCTATTTCCTTGGAGATGTGCCACACACGTGTTATCAATATCCAAATGTATGTTTGAAACAACAAATCAGTTTCAAGTCCTGCTGATTTTGGATTCCAGAGCTCCAAAACACAGACTTAAAGTCATGAGACTTGGTCAAATGGTGCAGAATAGGTTCTAAAAAATGAATATGAAAAAATAGAAACAAAAAACAAAGTTTCAAAATTTGTGAAAAATAAAAAATAAAATTTATTTTTCTCAAAAGCTTTGAAATTCATTTTGGGCAAGTGAGAGTGCTGAGAGAAAGGAAGATTAGGATATTAGAAGAATGATTATGAATGAAAATTTTGAAAAAATTGCTTTCCAGATGGCTTCAAAGAGCTTTTGATTGGGGCATTCACCAGCCCACATTGCAGTAAAACACTAGAATTTACTATTTTGGCTCCAATCTGGACAACCAACCTGTCCAAACCTTTTTGGGTTCCAATTTTTTTCATTTATAATCATTCTTGCCATGTTCCTCTCTTTCTGTCAGCGCCGGTCTCTTATGTGACCTGGCGTTGATGGGGTGAAGGTCAAACTATAACTGCTAGTGTTAACTAGCAGCCAGTGGAAAAGAAACCTCGCCTTGACGCTAGAAAGCGGAGGGGTTAAGCTCCCTGAAAATGTAGGGGACGCTTGCGGTAAGGTCTTTGCAGCGCCGGGCTTAGAGTGTTAAATAACTCTCTTCTAGGCTACGGTAGTGACTTTACTGTGGTCTAGGATTGAGATAGGATAGAGGGGAGTAAAGGGATAATAGATAATAGTAATATAGATTATAATAAAAACCCCACTCACTAATTGTAGTAAGGTAAACAGGTTGTATGGTAATAATCTCTGGGGGGAGGATTCTTGGGAAGAAGACCTCCCCCTTAAGTATTACAAAGGCAGGGGTCAACCTGCCTGTGAGACCGGTGAGGCCTGCAGAGGATCATTTATGTATATAATCATAAATGATCAAAATATGTATTTAAATTAAGATTTAAACCAGAAGTGGAGGAAATGATGTCATTCAAGCTCAAAGGAGAAAGAATGATGTCATCTCTCTAATTACAGTGTATAGAGAGATGATTAAGCTTTCAGACTATATGTATATAATATATGAATATTAATACAGAGGTAAATACTTAAGTAATTCCGTGGAATTACTTAAAGCATACAAGTATAAAAATACAATAATAATAATAATGGAGGACTTCCCGTCGGATCTGGGACCCTCACAGTTTGCGATTTGGACCTGACAAGTCTAGATTTTCGCAGGGAAATCTAGCTTTTGCGACTCTAAATTGAAACTGGGAGACCCGCAGATGTTGACGGGAAGTCATCAAATATAAGATTACATAATTGGGATTTGAACCCAAGTGTGTTGGTGAGGCAAAGTCATAACCCAGTCCTTAACCAATACACTACAGTACATGTGCTTGTTGGTTAAGTACAGGTTGTAGACACATGGGCTACAGCCTCAGTGTCTGACATTCGCCCCCACCAAAAAAAAATTACTCTATGAGGAATTTTTTGACCTCACGGAAGCCCTGAATTGTCTTAACAGAACCTGACAATTCTTAATCTTATCCACCTCTAACCACATATCTTGGTCAGGTTGACAATTCTTAAACCTAACCAAATAAAGTTTACAGTCTTTGCTTTGTTTTCTGACAATCTTCTCACCTAAAATTTTGTAAGGGACTTTGTCTGATACTTCAGTTTCTATAGGAGGAAGGATTGCATCTTGCTCAACTCGCAAGGGATTAGCTGTAGGATCAACATACTTCTTACACAAACTTATAGGGAAAGTAGGATGTCTTTGGCTAAATTGTTCTGTAAGGATCACCTCCACGGCATTCCTTCCATGAAACGCTTTGATAACAAATGGTCCAATAAAGGCATCTTTCAACTTTCTAGGGCCAGCCAAGTTATTAAAATTTACCATGGAAATTAAAACTTGTTCACCCACTTGTAAGTCATGGTCCTTATGAGACTTATCCCATCTTTCTTTATTATATTCAACTGCCTCCTTCACGCATGAACTTGCTTTTTCTTCAGCTTTAAACATCATTTGCTGAAAACACTCAGAACTTGGATGTAAAGTAACAGTCTTAGAAAGTAGAAAGTCTTTAGGCATACTAGGGATCCATCCTCTCTCGTTTTCAAATGGAGCAATTTCAGTTACTGAATGTTTTCTAGAGTTGTAAGCAAATTCTAGTGCGGGCAAGAGGATACCCAATCATGTGTGTAACCATCACTTGTCTTAAAGTCCAAACCATAGGCACAATATCTTCTTATCATGTCTTCCAATGTTTGAATCATTCTCTCAGCTAACCCATCTGTTTGAGGATAATAAGCAGTTGAATAAACTAACTTGGTTCCCAGAATTTCAAAAAGATTTTGCCAAAAATCAGAAGTAAATTTTGGATCTCTATCACTTATAATTATCCTGGGGCAACCTACATCACTTACTATGTTGTTCCAAAAAATGAGTGCTATATCCATAGCACTAATATCCTTGTAACAAGGGAGGAACCTAGCTCTTTTGGAAAATCTGTCACAAACCAACACCACATTAAAATT